ATTTTGATTACGTAAATGTGATATAGTGAATGAAGTGAGGATTCGTATGGAAGTGTAAATGATAAGTTTGATATAGAAACATGAAAAGTGTGCAAGGTGATGTGAAAATATTGTTTGACTCCTTAAAGTATATGTTTAATCACAATTGAAGAAGATTTAAAGTTGTGTTTTGGTCAAATGATGATGAAATACAAGTTTGGTATTGTTATAAGGTAATTAGAGAGTTATGAAGAAATAGATGGATTTATGATATAGAGTGATGAGATGAATGTATAAACGAAAAAGATAGTTGGAAAACTAAAGGATTAAAAAGTAAGTTTCTGATTATGACAAGAATAATAAATCAGGGAAGCAACATAAGAACATTAGAAGATATGTTTTTATTAAGATGTGCAGTGAAAATTCGAGGACGAATTTTCTTATAAGGAGGGGAGAGTTGTAACATCCAAACTATGAGTTAGTGACTAAATGGTAAAGTTTCAGAATTTGGTGATTAAAGTAGAAGAATGGATTAGTTCAATGATTTATCTGGAAATAAATCCTAAAAGTTGTTAGTAATTATCAAATGAAGTAGAGGACAAAATGGTTATTTAACTAATAAATGAATTAAAAATAAATATGATAAGGATATATATGTTAGAGGGGATAAGGATGAAGAGATATTCTCTTCATCTTCTTCTTCTTTTCTACTTCCTGTACGAGAGAAAGAAAGAGCCAAGCTTGCAAAGGTAAGATTCCTTGTTAGCTGATTATTTGTTAATTTTAAGAGTGGGTTTTGATCATTAGGTAATACTTAAGCTTATGGAAAGCTTAAGTTGTCCTAAAATCAAAAGATAACGAAGTTATAAAAGATTAAAGAAAATGAGTTTCTTAAGGAAATTCTGGAAAAGAGTTAGTAAGTGAATTTTGAGAAGGAATTTGGCTTGTCATCAATCTAATTAAGGAATATGGAGTGTTAGAATTAGATTTAAAACATGTTAAAAATCTGGTATGATTCTTGAAGTTAATAAAGAGGAGAGGATATTAAGGTTAAAGACGAGATAATTGATTATAAATGAGTTTAAACATGTATATGAAAGTTAGGAACATGAAAGGGGATGAAATATGAAGCATTTGAGTGAAGAGTTGATGATTTTCGGGTTCAAAAAGAGGTTCTGGGCAGAGTGCATCGATGCACTATGTGCATCGATGCATCAAGGTTAAAACCCAGAAATTTGTTTGAAGGTGTATCGATGCACAGGTAGTGCATCGATGCACTCTTTTAAAATAGAAACATCGAATACAATTAGTGCATCGATGCATAAGGCATGCATCGATGCATCCCAGTGATAATACAACATCGAATGCATTTTATGCACCGATGCATCAGTAGTGCATCGATGCATACTTTCATTGAAAGATGAAATTGGCATTTTTCTTATTCTAAAGAGTGAACCATTAGAATATATTAGTTATAATACTAATATAGATCTATGTATGATTATGTAGATATAGAACGTGATCCTGTTCAGAATCAATTGAGGGATTAGAATCGAATCAAAGCAAAGCTAAGGTGAGTGCACATTATTTAGTATATGATGTTAAATGGAAAAGAAGACTTATGATAAGTCTCTTTCCAATAGTAAAATGCATGAATTCATAGAGGTATGTGTTTGTTATGATTTATATGTGTGCATGAGTATATGTGTTATTGATATGATTCTATGATCATAGGATGTAAACTATGTGATAAGTGATAAGTGACTATATGAAATTATATGAGAACAAGAGATGACAATGATTTACATGTCATATGAAAACCAGAGAAGTGTTATAAGCAAAGTGACATATATGTCATAAATGAATGATATAAAAAGTGAGATAAACAAAGTATGGTTGATATAGGGTAATATAAGAATAATTCATAGGTTATATGATAAAGATGGAACCATATAGGAACATTAATTGAGTACTTGATAATAAGTCATAAGGTTATATGCATAGGTAATATAAGTTATAAGATGATAATATATATGAATATCAAATAAGTTATGAGATAAGTTATATGACATTGATATATAGGCTAAATGAAAGTATACACATGAATACATATATAAGTTTATATGTTATTTTATATGCTATGGGATATACCCATGAACATATGTGATGTGATATATGTTATGAGAAATGACCCATGTGACTAAGTGTGAATTGATATAAGTATGCGATATAAAAGTGTATATGTGAAATAACATGATAGGTGATAAAACCGTGAGCCTATATGATTATGTGTTATATGTTACATGATATGACATGCGAGTTACATGAACAAATGAGAAATGATATAAGTCATATGAAATGATCTACGTGAATACATGCACTTGTGATACATGTGATATGATATGAGATATATGGTTACACATACATGTGGTATGTGACAGAAGAGAAATAACAAGTGATATGAAATGTTATAAATGATAATGCCCATGTTATGTGATATGAGAGCTAGGGGTATAGTTGGCATGCCAAGAGTCGAGGGTATGCCTATGTTCTACGGAACATATGGACAGAATTACCTATGTCTTTCGAGACATATGGACAGTATACATATGTTCTACGGAACATATGGACAGAATTACCTATGTCTTTCGAGACATATAGACAATATACCTATGTTCTAAGGAACATATGGACAGTTTACCTAGGTTCTTCGGAACCTATAGATAGTTACCGAGGATCTTTATGACCTCTGGATAGGTCGTTCGGACATTTATATGAGCTGTGGTGATAGCATATGTGTGCACAACCTCAATGTACTCACATACCTTAAGTTCTCACTAGTGTACATGGGCTAATAAAGAGATTAAACAAACATACTGAATGTGATATGTATACGATGGGTTTATAAATTGTTATCAAAAGTAAGTGGTTTGAAATGTGTTACATGAACCATATGATGTTATATGTGTTTCTTAATGATAATGATAGAGATTATGATAATGATGGTATATGTTTATGTATGCTTTATGTTATATGAAATATTATATGTTTTATATGCCTCACTAAGTCATCGACTTAGCGTGTGATTGTTTCACACGTAGGTTTGGAAAGCGAAAAGAGAAGTAAAGAGGAACAAGGCAGGTCAGTTCTCCTTACCGAATGTCAGATCAGAAGAGAGGTGAATAATATGTATATTTTTTTATATAAAGTTCTAGTTGGCATGTAATCAAAAGAATATATTGAATAAGCTCTGAATAGTTTTGTAAATGTTTTGAATAAGTTAAATGTTATAAAAGTTTTTAAAATTACTCACTATTTTATACGAATAAAGGTTTGAAAAGTCAATGCGACACTTCGGACTTGTATCCGGGTTGGATATAGGTTGGGGGTGTTACAAGAAGTGTCGGTTTTTAAGGTGTGCGAGTGCCTGGAATGCCGAACAAGTGTTGTTGAAATCGTTGTTGCGAAGAGGATTGAGGACAAGTTTATGGTGGGAAAGAGTTCAGGTTGAGAGTTATTTTATGCAACTGTGACTGTATGTTTGTGTTATTGGTTTCGATATGTTGACTGTTCTGATAAGCTGCCTTATTTTTGTCTTTACATTGTGGGTAAATTATAGATCTGGATTGTCGATGTACTTAGGTCTTAATCGTTCATTTAGGGGAGCTTCCACTATAAATTGATGTCTCTCCTCCACATTTATACTCATTTCTTTAATTTGAAAATCACAGAGTATTCTCTCAAACTCTCTTTTGTCTTTGTACTTGTGCTTGCAAAATTCTCTTGTTCTTTGCTTCTATTGGAAATTTAAGCATCTTTATTTGAAATTTTCAGGCTGATTTAGCCTCTATCACAAAGAGAAAGCAACTAAGATCACAAGACGTTGAAGTTTCAAGGGCATGACACAATACATAAAAGTCATTCACCACAGGCGTAGGATGACTATTTTTGGCTAGACAATTGAAGTTGGACTCGGCTACATTTATGCTTTAGTTATCACAATAACATTGATTTGAGGGTGAAAAATGGTAATAACCAAATTAGCTACATTGTTTCGTCACTATTCAATTTGTGATTCGTACTTAATTCAAGAAATATATATCTACACAAATCAAGCGAATTTAAGAGTACGAAGTTTCAATGTCAAATTTTCCTCCTTTCGACCAGTCCGTTTAAGTTTTCTATAAATTTAGGCAAAAATCCCTGGAAGTTTTTTTCTCTAAAACTCACATATTTTTAGACTTTTCTTGATTCACATGTGTCAAGTATTTTTTTTTAAATCTTGATTATAGGAAAATCGAGAAGGAAGAGAAAACTAATATATCTTAATTTTACACTGATTAAATGGTGTGGTTGCATATCAGACTTAAAAAATATCGAAGCTTTGACTTAATTTTAGTCAAGTTTAAAGGGATTTAGAGGAAAAGCAAGCTGAGAAGGAAAAAAGGGGAGAAGTGTGAATGTTCTAGTACCAATTATGTTGTAAACGATGATCATTATGAATTGAACAACAGTGCAAAAGGATTCTAATCATGGGAAAGAAGGTTAAAAATATTAGGTTTATTTGATAAATAAGAATACCCAAACTGTAGTGTTTTCTGTACTTTCATTACACAACTAACGGTTGGGTGAAAAAAAACAAATTCCAAAATTTGGATGACAAAATCTACAATTTTTTAAATTTAGATGACCAAAACAAAAACACAATAAAGTTCAATGACTAAATGGGTAGTTTACCCTACAGAAAAATAAACTGTTAAATAAAAAAAAACTTGATATATTATTTGCCTCTTGAGTCGTTGACTTGACATTTCAACAATTAATTAATATGTGATATGTAGCTCATTGATGATCATTTTAACACGACAATGTTACATGAGCAATCTGGTTGAAATACCACGTCAACACATGTATCAGTTTGAGTTCATATATATATATATATATATATATATATAACAGGTACCTAACTAAGAAAACTTTCTAAACTCACGGCTTAATTGATACGATAGAAACAGTGTATCCTCAGTTCAAAACTTTCATGTTATATTATTTCCAAAAGCTACAACATAGATTGACTCGTTAACTAAACCATGTACTTATTTTCAACAAAAGTAAAACCCGAACTCACTTTGCTTTTGTTCTGAAGGATGGGAACTAGCTTTGTTTTTGTTTCGAAAGGATCCGAACCCGCTTTGCTTTTACGTGAGACTCCACCGAAAGAGGAGCACCTCACGGCTTCACCGCTTTCGAATCCGCCCTCTTTCTAATAGCATCCCAAAATGCAGGCACAGCCACATCGTCAGGAACTTCTTTGAACGATGGCAGGTAGTTTACATCCACAATGACATGATCACCGGAACCTTCTTGAATCTGAAATCAGTAAATGAGAACAATCCTCAATTAACTTATGCCCACAATGATTACGTGGACCTCTTATGATTGTAGACACAACATGAATGCGAAGAAAAATGCAAAAACATGATCATATACGAATGTATTAAATTTATAGAAGACAAATTATCAAATCAGCAAGGTTTGCAAAATGCAAGCGCTTTACCATAGGGCATAGTAATAATGGGTTAGGACTATGGGGCAATATTCGTATTGTACCATAGGGAAAAATGTAAGTGCTTTACCATAGGGCACAGTATGAAGATTGCCTCAGAAACACGATCGAATCACCGATAGAAACCATGTTTACTAAATGTTATGTTACACCCTCTCTTGCTTCTTTTTTTACCCAGAGCTTCATTGCAAGATTTCACCGTTATGTATCTAACATGGATATCTTTAATTTTTCCAAGTCTAATACAAATATGCATTTGACATGGGTATGCTTAAGGGGTCGTATCTTCATATCCATGACTGGAAGTGCTGGACACGAGTACTTCGAGAAAAATGGGGACTTGGAGCAACATGCCAGTGACCAAGGATTTAGAAAGATCCAAATAGATATTATATGGAAGACAAACATTCATCTTTAGTTTCAATTCTAATTATCGGACAAAAGCTTATATTTCTACATATTTTCCACACGCATAGCTTCCCACAGTTGACATTGTTGCCCTAAATAAGAATTCACTGAAAAACAGATTTAATAAGAATATAATGGTTTTTTCACTTAAGAAATATGAATGAAAAGTTTATTCGAGCTACTCACAACAACATCAAAGCCAAAAATGGTGAGACCCAACATTTTTGAAAGCCACTCAGCAGCCTTGTTTACTAGCCCAAGATCAAGGCACAAATCCCGACCTTCAGAGTTTGCAGGGGAAGTAGGTAGAGATTTTAAGCTGTGGAGGATGCAACATCAGCAAATTTCTAAAGAATAAGTCAATTTACATATAACACAAACACACATATATATAAAGTTGCATTACAAGGGGAAAAACGGTGAACAGAAACAGTGTACCTGTCAAAGAGAAGAGGTTTTGATCCATCCTTCTCAGATGATTTTATCAAAATGTCAGAATTGGGAATTGACTTCTTCACGGCATGGAAAACTCTCTCACCTAGAACATAAAACTTGAACAAAGTGGATGAATGATCAACATATTCCTGCAGTCCAAGGCATTTCCCCTTTTAGAGCCAAGATTTCAAACTTCAAAAGGATTGTCACATATAATGTTCATAGAAATCGTTTTTGATGTAGCATCATAGTCTGTTAGGTCTCCCATGGATCATTGATGAAATTAGTAACTTAACTCTTTGGCTTTTTCCTATAACAGATTTAGTACCTTAAACTGTAATCGTCTCCATGGAGTAGTAAAAGGCAAGAACAAACAAATAAAAGAATATATTCTGATAAGCAGAAAACGGCAGCATTACATAAATGCAAGGAACTAAATCTTCATTTTATACTTCAAACGACATGCAGCAAGATTTAACAATATAGTCTGATAAGCAGAAAAGGGCAGCAGCACTTAAATGCAAGGAACTATATCTTCATTTTATACTTCAAGCGACATGCAGCAAGATTTAACAATATAGTCTGAATAAGAAAAGGGAAGCAGCACATAAATGTAAGGAACTAAATCTTCATTTTATACTTCAAGCGACGTGCAGCGAGATTCAACAATAAAACATGCAACCATGATTCCCTCTGAAATATTAGTGGATGCTTACCTGAATGACAGCAGGTACTGGAACGCTCAAATCCTTGAAGTCTTCAACACTAAAGACAATTGCCTGTTAATTAAAAAATAAGTCTTATTCAATTTTAATAAACTAGTTCATTAATTTCATCTAATATAGAAATAGTTAATTGTCACAAATGATATTTTCTTTTTAACAAGATAAGGTATATTCTTTGGTTTCAAGGTACCAGAAGGGATTTGCATTTCAGTAGATGTTTACCATACTATGAGCATCAGCTACACCACAAGCAACCTGAGGTTTCACTATACTTGGAAGAGACAGTTCTACATCATGAAGTCTTTGTACCAAATCAGGTTCATCAAAACTGTTAACCTGCAAATTTGAGAGGCAAACATGCAAAACAACCATTAAACTCGGGGAGAAAAATTGAAGAAGCTAAAGCATAATTGTTTAATTGTTCTTAAACTAATGACAAAAGGTACTGTGAAAGCATTTGTAGCCTCCTCTTTTCTTTTCTGTTTTTGAAGGCAAAAAGGGGGATGGGGACTTGCCCATTTAGAGTGTACACAAACCTAAATCCTAGGGGGAGAAAAGGTTATATATGAACCTCCACTGTTTTCCAGATGGAAATGTTAATTCAACCACAAAGTTGTCATCCACCAAAATAAAATCTAAAAAGGTTTCATGAGAAAATATTACCACAACATAAGATTGTTTTCACAAAGGTGGTTTCCGTAAACTGGCTGTCTGGCTTAAACATCTATTCAAACGTGTGCAACAACAACAATATTATAAATAAACAAGTAATCGTTAAGAGAAACATAAAATGTTCCGATTTATAATAGATGCCACATGATAATTGAAACCAACCCAAATATTTATGCACCTGACTTAAGGCAAGACTACGTAAAAGATGAATCACATAGATCTCATTGCATTCAAAGCTTGAACAAAGTATTGAAACAGCGCATCTTCTGGATGTCCTGGGCATTACAACTATAAAAGGCAACCAGGTTGCAATCTACCAAAATCAAAAAGAAATACCAAAAAGAAATATCCTAACTATAAAACATTTAGACAAGTTAAACTATGAACAAACTTCAGTCTAGAAGTACTGACTCCTATTATAACAAACTTCATCATGCAAGCAACTGAAAATAAGTAACAATGCCTAACACAGGCTTTATTCAGGTAGCATATACAGTCCAATCATACAAGTAACATTATCTGCAAATTACAATTAAGAAAAAGTTCGATAAAGACCTTGAGAAAGTGAGGGCCCCTGACTTTGCAGCTTCCTGCTGCATGAAGATCCTCTAGTCCAAGTAAAATTTGTTGGATCTTTAACCGATCAAGTACAGGGTAAATGCTATTAATTGGATCAACTTCGAAGCAATGATTTTGGCTTTTAATATGCCTGCACATGCATCAGCCCTATTTAGAAAGCAGTTCTATGATTGTCACATCAAACTAAAATATTCAAGGACTACAGACTAAAAAAACTGTTTTCTTAGATAAATACACAAGATTAAGAAGACAGAACGATTTTTGGCCAATATAAAGACCATGTAGTCAGACACACCTGTCCAAAGTTGAGGAAGCCCAAAAGCTTTATATTTTATGCAGTCACATGTAAGCGAGTATATGCATACAGAAGACACATACTTAGATGTTAAAGTCACCTTTGCAGTTCTTGCATTCCATTTGTGTAATCAATTCTGTAGGAAGGTTCTGAGGAGCTATTTAATTCAATGGACACGATTTCATCAGTTGCTTTGTGGAGAATCACATCAACCTCTTCTAACTGTGCTGCTATAGGAAGCTCAAAAGTTAAGGGCAAAAAGATCAACCCGTTGGGAGTTGGACACATTGGAAAGGCACCCCTCTACAGAATATATGAACATGAGCTTTGGTTGGTCAATATAAATCATAACGAGAACTAAAAGAAATCGTAACTTGTTGAGTTGGTTTCTAGCAAATTTTAAAGGAGAGTAAAAACCATAACTTATAAGTTCGTAATTATTTTTAGTAAAATTCTTTTCTTCCAAAGAAAACTGAACAATTTCAGTTGTTATCAAAGGGCTGACCTTGGCAAAATCTTCCTCACGAGAAGGCTTCATAACGTAGCCAACTGTTACAACGCCGTCGCTTATTGCCTGAGAAAAATGTTAAAGAAATCATGAAAAGTAGTTTTCCTTTGAGGAACCCAGAGTTTGTTTAAAGTAAATTGATCTTGAAAATCCTTACTGTTTTGTCATAATCAAAGGAGATACCTTTGAGAAAAATATATGTCATTTACACAACAAAAGTTTTATTAGTTCTTCATAAGTATACCTATGACCTGTGAAGTTTTTATGTGGCTGGTGAATACAATGGTCCAAGGATTTGGCAGCGTGTTAAGATTTAGCAAATGCATAGAAAAGAATGATAGGGGGTGACCTTTTTATTTAAGCGGCAAATGGTCAAAGGTAGCTCTTCCAATTTATCCATGTATATCCTGTTTGACTTCTGCAGTGCACTGGTAACTTCAGCATCTGAAAAAAGGGAAGCAACTTTGAAAAGAATGAATTCGGGTCAAGCAGGGGAGTCATCCCTCTTGAATGCAAGAAAACATCAACAAACACTAGTTGGTCACCAGAAAAGACGGTTATACATATGCAGAGCAAAAGTTGACGTAGCTTTCCCGATTATCTAGGAATGAAAAGATTAAATAGCGCTCACCAGGAGCAATTGAAAAGTATGTGCAACTTATTTTGGCAGAGCAGTCGTGGTTAGGAACGAGATACAAGATGGAGCCTGAGACATGAGCCCAAGTTTGGGCAATCTCTCGTGATGCAATGTCCGAGGAAGATGCAGTCAAAGGAAGGCATTTAAAAGAATGAAGCTCAGCCATTTTCTGCAGGAGATTAACCTAAGGGAAAAAAATTAAAAAGATATATATTCATAATTCATCATAAGAAAATGTTATTTATGGCATTGATAGTGATGATTTATGCTAGGCTGACAAGCTCAAGGTGAGTCCTAGATACCAGCATCTAATACGGAAATGTTAAACACAATCTGGCAGAATATTGGAAGAAGTAACCACTCATTAATTTATAGTATCAAATCAATTGAGCACTTCCAATTAATAAGAAAACTTAAACAACAAACCAATAAATCTTACTTTCTCATCTGAAAGAGGCAACTCGAAGGAAATGGCCTGCAATAAGAGAGGAGAGCAATGGGTGACGCGAATCAAATAAAAACAAACAAGTAAGGTCAAAGACTAAAAGCATCAATTTATTAATTTATACCGTATGGATATCGGAAAATCGGAGCTTGCGTAGTAGGGAGAGGGTTGGGTTGCTCTTGAAATTATCGGGCTGTTCGATTCCATATTCAAACAGTGCATGGTCCACTATCACTCCCCTCACAAATTTACCCATTAGCATAAAATTAAAATAAAATTTAATTGCTTTCTCGTACAGATTACCACATTGCCGCCATGGATGTTGTTTGCACAGCTGCTCTAGTTCTTCAACCAAATCTCTTTCACACCGTCGCTATTCATGCATGCCGGTGAGCAATCAGTCGCCGGAAGATCTAAGGGACAATAGAGGAAACTGGACTTAGATCAGTGAAATTCTTCTTCCTTAGCTTAAGCTTCAAGCTTTATAGCAAAGCAGATGCTCCTGTTCTGATAACTTGCTTTTTAATCATACGGAATCTGAAATTTGCGGTGGGCTTATTGTATGGTTTATAGTGGTTAAATTATAAATTCAGTCCCTCTATTGTACTTAAATTTTGGTATTAATAATATAATTGCGTAAAGTACACCAAACAATCATTAGACTATGATAAAATACTCTTTTTAGTCAGTAATCTTCTAAATATTATAAAATAAATATTACAATTTTAATTTTATTATAAAATGAAGCTCGTGTTGTTAGCTACTGTTGATTATTATTAACAGAATAATGTGACATATAAACTAATAAGTGATATTTCATGTGACTCCTCAATTATAACTGAAATTTTATTTTGATGTTATTAATATTTTTAAATAATAATTTTAAAAAATAAAAATATATCAAATTTATATTTTTTTAAATAAAAAAAATTAAGACCATAAATTTAATGTGATTATTTTTTTATCTTTTTTTTAAATGTCTAAAATTATAGTTCAGAAAAATTAAAGCAGTAAAAGAAAGCTAGGTTTGAAATATAATACAATAAATATTAGGGTAAAATACACAATTATTATACAAACTATTGTTTTTCTTCCGTTTTAGCACCCAAACTTTATTGTATTCAAAATTATATCACATTTAGTCTAGGTTTTATTTTAGGTATTTGTTCCATTTTAGTACCCAATTTTTATTTTTTTAAATCATACATAACATTTAGTTTATGTTTCATTTTGGTATCCGTCTTTAAAAATTTAACAGTGATTTTGACGTGACACCATAAGATAATATCATTTCATCATTGAAAAAAAAACTTTAAAAAACATCATGTCATCAGTTCTATTAATTTTTTAACACTGGAGTACTAAATTAAAACTTAAATTAAATTTTAGGTATAATTTTAAATCAAAATAAAGTTTAGGTACCAAAACATAATAAAAATAATAATTTAGATACTAAATATGTAGTTTATCCTAAATGTTAACTATCAATATTCAATCCCCAATTCAAGAGCTTGTTCATAGTAGATAGTTCATTCAAAATAGCCATCCAAGTTTTCTTTAATATATGCAAAGGAAACCATATAACTCTTTGTTAATGGACCTTATCACATCTTGGTCTAACCATATTTTAGAGTTGGGAAATGGAAACCTTATCACCGTTTACAGAAGGATTATTCAAAAGCCTTGCATATTCTTCTCACAAATTCAGATTTTTTTTTACTCCGACTCGCATTACTTTTTAGAGAAAATTTTGTAACATGTATCTTATTCACTGTATCATTCACGACCTCATATGATAAAATTTATCAATTTCACTTTTTATATATATTTTTTCAAGAATGAATCTTCATTTTTTGTACATGTAAAAATGGAACAACAACAACAAAACCCATTTCCCATATGCAATGGGGTAAGGGGAGGTAGGGTAGTAGGCTGCCCCCAACGCCAGGTTGAGAGTAGCTTCCGTGGAATACCTCCGGCAGTCAGAAAATTAAAAATATAGATAAAATGCAATGCATGTATAAATAAATACATAGTTAAAAAATATTCATATGCAGACATTAATATCATTAATATCATATGCGCGTTTGTATTTGGGCAGTAATCCCTGCAAATAAATCCATACGAAAAAATCTCTGCATATAGACAGAAACGTAAGACCTGACTAAATTTAAAAGTGAAAAGAATGTTACACAGAAGTCAACGAAAACAAGCCCAGCTCTAAGCCTTCATAAATACCAATAACAGAAACGTATAAAAAGTAGAAGTTACCCACACTACTCGACTACCCTAGTTTTGAGTCTCTAGACTTTCCTATCAGATGTCATGTCCTCGGTAAGGGCTAAATCCATCAAATCAGAACTCAAGCAGTCTTCCCACTTCCGCCTTGGTCGTCCTCGCCTTCTGGCACCATCGACTGTAATCGACTCTACCCTCCTGACCGCATCCGACGGTAGTCGCCTAAGGACATGCCCAAATCACCGTAATCTTCCCTCCCTCAATTTTTCGGAAACATGCACCACCCCCAAGGACATCCTAATAACAAAGTTTGTTGTCATATCCCACAGAGTCCTACCGCATGTCCATCGAAATTAATTATTGTTGGATTAGCTACGTATAAACAATAACAGAACCAGAATATCAGTTTATGGAAGATAAAGTATAACATTTTCAAAAATAGGTGATAATTCATAATTATCCTATAAACATTCAAATTATATTTATAAATTAAATATAAAAAATTGTAGGAAAGGGGCGACAATCTCACCCGTGTACCAAGTACATCTATCCTAGCATGGAGAAAAAGAATAAGATGGATGTTTTTTATTAGTTGGAATTATAGATAACGTGATGAAAAAGACTTATAAAATAATCTCTTTTTTATGGAGTTTTGTAAAAAAAATATTCTTTAGCATATATTCTTTAACCTACACAATCAATAGGGATTTATGATCTTGTAAAATGGCCATGATATGTTGGATTGTACAAACTATATTCCAACTTTTAACTCTTTCATACCCAATCCACCTTTGACCTTTAAAAGGCACATTTTTTCATTCGACTCGAGTTATACGCGCAATATAATCTTTACCTTTTTAAAAATAACGAGAACAAAACTAGTCTGCGATGGTTATTTATTAGTTTTCTCATCCCTTTGTAGGTGGAGGTTATTTTTCAAGGGCATCATTTGATAAAATCGTTATCATGTTAGATTAATCGGCTTTTGTTTATTTCACACAGTAGAAAAAGAACATAGAAATCGGGACTTGGTTTCTATTTAAAAATTTGGAGTTGATATTTTATTTTCTTTGATTTTGATTATTTTACGATTGAAGTTTCTTTGTATTATTACCTCTAAATTAGCTTCAAGGATGTAGATGCTCTGATTGCTACTTTCGTGATATCGATAGAATTTAATTTGACCTTTAAATTCATATACAAATAACTTTAAAATAAAAATTTTAATTAATATCTCAAAATTCTCAATGTCTTAATCTAAAATATTTTCGTACTTGATTTGATTATCTCACGAGTTTGATTGTATTTTATTATTAAATTAGTTAAGTTAAAATATTTTTATTTTTTTAAATATAAGATAAAATATATAAATAGTTATTAAATTATACTAGATGATTTTTTTCGATCATTGAAGTTTTAAAAATTATAAGATAATAATTATTACTACCAAGTTATTATAAAATAGTTACTATTTATTATACAATAGTGATAATTTTAATAAGCTTAAAGAAATTCTATAATAATTTGATAAATTTGATGATTATTTTATATTGGTTTTATTAAAGTTAATGATTATTTTATAATAATTTAATAAAATTAATAATTATTTTCAAAATTTTTAAATTTTTTATAACGATCAAATTTATTTTAATATAACTCGGTGACTGTTTTTAGGTTACCTAAATATGTATACTCTTTCTCTTAGGTATATTTATATATAGAGAAAGGACATGTACTTATCAAATAATTTCAGTAATTAAAAATATATTATTTTTTCTAAACTTTTAAATTAAAATAATTATATCTATAATATTTGTATATATTATTAATATATATTTTTAAATATATATTATTTTATAATCTCTCGTAAAATTAAAAAATATATATATATTGAGAGGACAAAGATGGTAAAAGTTAAATTTCGTTGCCCTTTTCTAGAACTGTGAGGAGTAATAAGATTCTAGATTGTTCCACGATAACAAGACGCAAAACAGAACAAGAGAGATGATTACAGTAGGAGAAATCCAACGGTTCAGATTAATCAAACGTTAGGTTTCTCCGGCTTTATAGAACTTATCATCCGAAATGCAGATAACATTTTCAGCAGAGCACGGCAAAACCTCCGCAAAAACCTAGAAGGTAAATTGGACTTCTTCTTCTGCATTTCACCATCAGCCGCCCCTAGCCCTTAATCGCCCGTCTCCTTGCCGGTCTTCGCAAGACCTAACTCCATCACTAATCCTCACGTTGTCTCGTCCATACCTCAGGCCATCGTCTTCCTCCTTCCCTCGCCGGTCCGCGCAAGACCTCACTCGCTCACTCATTCTCACGTTTGCTCCTCCTTACCTCCGGCCACCATCTACCGCCTCCCTTTTCACGTCGTTCTCTACTCTATACTGCGTTTACTTCTTTTTCTTTCGTTCCTTTCTTATTCCCTCCGTCGTCGTTGCTACTTCTTCCCGTCTTTACTTCTATTTATTCCCTTCACTTGCCTCTCCCTCTCTCTCACTCGATTTAATTATCTCTGTTTATTTACTATTCATTTCTGGTACCAATATATTTGTTTATTTATCCAGATATTTGCTTTCATTTTAATATTTTGAATATTTTCAGCTCAATAGAAGTGTAAGATGGCATCTTCTTTCACAACTATGTCTTCAGTTGGCTCATTAATTGCACCTAACGGTCTGGTTATGGACAAGAAGCTTCCATCTTCTTCAAACAGATTGTCATCTTTCGCTTCCATTTCTTCATCCTCTTTTGTTAGTAGGCGAAATGTTGATCTTAGAAGATCTCGCCTGCCCAAGATTTGTGCAGCAAAAGAGCTGCATTTCAACAAGGACGGGTCAGCCATAAAGAAATTGCAAGTGAGTCATTGTTTCAAATGATTATGAATGTATGGCTAGTGTTTAACCGAAGTTCAAAGTTCAGAGGCATTATATTTTTGGCTCAATTTTACTTTATGTTCTTTATTCGTAGACTGGTGTAAACAAGCTCGCTGATTTGGTTGGAGTCACTCTTGGCCCTAAAGGTAGGAATGTTGTTCTTGAAAGCAAATATGGCTCCCCCAAAATTGTCAATGATGGTGTGACAGTGGCTAAAGAGGTATACCCTTGCTCTAACTTGTTATCGGATTTGAATTTAGAAATGCTTGCTTTATTGGACAAGTATTTTCCAATGTTGAATGTCTCACTTAATGGTTTATTTACTGGTTAAATGTTGTTCCTGTATTGATTTCAAGGTTGAATTGGAGGACCCAGTTGAGAATATTGGGGCTAAGTTAGTAAGACAGGCAGCTTCTAAAACAAATGACTTGGCCGGTGATGGA